AAAAATCTAGTTTCTTTTTTTTTAATGACTGAAAAGAAAAAATTAAAATGATTGCTTTATTTTCTCTCAAATGAAGAAAAAATATGTATGATAAAGTAAAGTTGCTTTCCAAGTTTTAAAAATGTGATGACAAAACATGTACCTCAGTTTGGGCAAAATAAAAGAGACTAAAACATTTGACTTTTGCAAAGCTCAATTGCCTTTTGAAATTAATTATAATTTTTTAAATAAAAAATAAAAAGACCTTTGCAAATTAGAGTAGCTTTTCAATCTTGTTGATTAAATTTCTGTAGCAATGAATTTTCGTACGCACAGGCTAGTTAGTATCTAGAGCAACCCAGTTAGGCAGTTAAGACAGATATTATCACATTTATCTCCACTGGGTCCGATGAAAAACCATCTTCAGAGAGCTCAACTGTGTTTTAAAACTTTAAATTCCATGTTTTTTTCTTTTCTTTAACATGCCAATTCATGGCAAATTCTTTCTTAAAGATAATTTACATTTATTACTCTAAGTAGTTGTACTAATAGGTGAGTTGGCAAAAAACTACACCAGAACCATAAACATTTACCAGCAATATTATGAGTAAGCTCCGAGAAAAAATGTATAGTGCAGTCAATTCCTAAAATGATTAGAAGGGAAGACAGACATCACAACAATATACTAAAGTATTTTGATTACAGGTATAATTTTCCATAATACAGAATTAAAGTCTAGACATTCTTTAACTTTAATTTCTTCTGAAAAATTATCACAACTAAATGGGCAATCATTTAGAGGAAAACTCAATTAAGAAAATTTCCCTTTTCTAGAAAATATAAGCAACAGTCAATTTATCCATTAGCTGAAATAAGATTTTTGTTGCAAGTGTTGGAAGATTTGTATATATTGTCTTTGGGAATTGAGAGAAGAGATAGGTACAAAAGCAATGTTTTAAATTATATATACAATATGTTTTAATGATAAATATATAAATAAAATTATGTCACTTTTTAAATCTCTGCCAACAGGTAAAGAAGCAATAGTTTTCTCAGGTGCTATTTCAGCACATATATAGATATTAAGCTTACTGTTGCATTAGATGACAAATGAAGAAATAAAATTTGTTAAAAAGGTCAATGATATAGAGATTAATTCTATAGATTCTTTTAAGTTTATTGATGTTCAATTTGTCAGCGGATAAATATAAAGTCATATGAATATAGTTAAACACTTTTTAAAACATTTTATTTCATTAGCAAAACCACTAAGAAAAACATCTTAACTAACTTTCATTTGCATTTTCTAATAAAAAATATACTGTAATTTTTTTAGCTAATTAATGTGTATTTTTTTCTTTTTGGTTTAGTATAAATTCGTACATTAGAAGACTTAACAATTAAATTATCTAACACATTTTTGACCCTGAGAAAAAATTCAACAAAAAAAAATGACTTTCTTCTTGCTCAACTCTTCTTAAGAAAAAAAAAAGATTTTATGTAAATAAGAGAAAAACAAAATATAGAATCCTTTGTGTTTAAAAAAAATGGCATGGTTAATGCAGTTATATAAGGGTATATTTTTAGCTATGTTGTCATTACCTTCAAAGTTCTATGGTCTACACAGTCATTAAATTGATACTCATGTGTACATTTTTCCAAAAAAAAAAAAATTTTAAATTAATTATTAACCCAAAATATTGGTTCTGCTCTCAATTTTCAAGTTTTGTTTTTTGTGTTTTTTTTCAAAGTTTCAAAGCTTTTAGTGAGAAAAAGTTGAGATTCCATGTATAAAGAGATCCTGTGACCCTGTGACTTTGGGCAGAAAAAAAGATAATCTTTCATCTAGATAAGAAAATAGATTAGACATTTAAATTTTACCAGCATACTGCTTGTTCTTAACTATTTTCTATAACAATTTCATTTATCTTAGTCTTTCCAATCTCTCCAATAAAAATAAAGGACCACTGATTAAAGCATGGTTGATGGAAAATAACTGACTGAATGCCATCTCAAGGATACGGTGAGATTTTAAATTACTTGATATACCTTCACAAAGGGCAGGATTTTTAAAAATCAAGTTAAATTGAAAAAATTAACAAAAGAAATTTTACATTAAAAGAGAGGCTAAGTAATTTTTACTTTTTTTCTTTACAAAAGATTCTTTAAGTTATTATACTTTTAATAGTTAAACACTAAATCCTAAGTACAATTTTTGAATGCAATTCTCCAAATGCACATATGGCCCAACTAAATTTACAAGGCAAAATTTTTAATAAATCTCATTATAACAAATCTAGTTTTCATATAGTCCTTTTCTCATATTTTTTATATTTCTAAAACATATTTAGTGTATTTAATCAAAAATATGGAGGAGGAGGTAACTAATGCAAGTATCAAAATTTAATTGAGGTTCTTATAGTAGTTCTCTTTTTATGAAAATTTAACTTGAACATTCTCAGTACCTCTAAATCTTGTAAATAGTCATAAAAAGAACTAATAAAATAGAATATCAGTATGTGCCTTTACTATAGACTAATGTCTAAGTGATCTATAAAAAAAAATAGTAATCAAGGCAGTTGCATAGAGAAGGCAGAGAAATAACCATGTTTGTGTATAAAAAAATTAATAACAATTTCAGTAATAATTTAAGTGAAATGTTTCCTATCCTCAAATTACACTTCATAATTATCAACAGGCCAAGCTATCTGAACAAGCAGATCACATGATCTTTCACCACACTCCCCATGAAGTTTTCAAAAATTCTCAAGAAATATAGGGAGGTGATATCATCGAATTGTGGGGACTGCAGAGAGAATTATTTTAAGTCCTTATACCTGTGCTTTCCAGTAAAGCAGCCACTAGACACTAGTGGCTACTGAACACTTGAAATAAAGTTAGCACAACTGAGAAACTGAAGTTTTAATTTTAATAATTACTTTATTAAATTTAAATTTTAAAACTATTACTTTAGTTACTAAAACTTATTATTATGTTTGGAAAAACTTGGGTATACACTTTTAAACTGAAAATCTTATTAAATCTAATTCATATCAAGTATTTCCAATGAAAAAGTATCAGATTTATAAGACATAGTACAAAATATTATAGCAACAAATTTTATATTGATTACATGTTAAAATAATATTTTGATATACTGGGTCAAATAAAATGTATCATTATTAAAATTCATTCAACTATTCTCCCTTTACTTTTTTAACACAGCTCCTAAAAATTCTGAATTACATAAGTGTCTTGCCTTGTATTTGTAGTGGACAGTGCTGCCTTGGACAATACATATAAAATCAAAACTTTTTAAAAGTCAGGTTCCTTAGAGAATAATATACATGCAGTAAAACTCACTCCTTTACATGTACAGTTCTATAAATTCTGACAGATGTATAGTCATGTAACCATCATCACAATCAGGACATAATACATTTTTATCACCCCAAAAAAGTTCCCTCATTCTCTTGTGTAATCAATTCACACCTTCTACCCCAAAACCGTGACAATTCTGTTTTCAGTCTCTATCGTTTTATTTTCAGAATGTCATATAAATGGAAAAATATAGCGTGTAGACTTTTGAGTCTAATAAATCAAATTTTAAACTTACACCACTCTACGGCACTAAAGGACTATTACCATTCTGATATTTCCTTTCCTTGGAACATTTTGTCAAGGTCTATTTTTCCCAGTTATTCCACTTGCAAAACTGAGCTTTCTTCCTTGCCACTATTACAGCAACCTAATTACGCTTCTAGAACAAAACTAAACAGATTGCATTATAGTTATTTATATACAGGTCTTCCTCCCATTACATTGTAAGCCAAAAGCCTGACTTCTAGAACCACTATGTTTTTCATAAGATTAACTGTCTAGTGAAACTAACAGTACAGATAACAAGACTAAGAAGGAATTTCCTATTGTGTTATAAAAAAAGAAAAGGAAAAAAAATTAAGGGATGAAGAAGTTTACCCTCTAGATTAGACGTCTACTTTTACTGAGGTCTCAAAAAAAGGATATTGGGCCATACAGGATCCAAGAACTGCAATGTAAATGTCTCCTATCCTCAAAATACTAACCAGGTACAAATACTAGTGGAGATTTAACCTGGACTGCTATTTTTACCCAGATTTCTATTGTCTTCTTTCAGGGCTTGCTAACAAAGTTGAGTAAATCTGTAGTAGTTTAACACTATTTTCCTCATAAACTGTTATTTCTGGTACATGATTTTACAGAACATAGTTTTTCAGGAACATGTGTATCGCATTATAGTAGAAATACCTGTTATCACATGAAAGTAAAGACTTAAAAATTCTATGGCTCGATCTGAAAAGTAAATTATTTGTAACTGTTAATCTTTATATAGTCAAATATATGAAATATAACGTCTATCTGTTAGGTAGTTAGGTAGACATAAGCAACTAGAGAATGAAGGCCCCTCCCAAAGATCTCCCTTAGGACTTCCTTGGAACCCCCATTTTATGGTTATAAATTACCTCTACATTCTGAGATACAAAGGAGAAAAAAGCCATATAATAGCAGCTAGTTTGGTCCAGCCACAAACACTTGCGCAGTTAGTAATATCCTAACCTCTCCGTAAACTCAGCCTTGTTATAACATCATTATAATGCTATGCATATGCCCAGAATTTCATAAATCTCATTTTAACAGACTGTATTTTGGGTAATCGCATGCAAAGTAGGCGACCTCACATGCCAATCATCCAGCACCACTCTCAGAACCTCCTATCACGGCCCTAATATAATACAGACCTTCCCACTTCATGAAGCTGCAGCCTTCTTTGGCATAGTCCATTTCTCCTTTGAAATGTACTTTTATAAATCTTATTTTTCTAAATCTTGCTGACTGTAATTCTAAAACTGTGTCAGCAAAACCAAGGCCCCCTCAAGTGCTATCGAGGCAACAACGGATTTTAGATCGCCCAAATGGTAACATATCTTTTAAACAGATAAATAAAATATTATCACTGACTTTAATGCTTCCAAAGTACTTACTGAAGTCTCCAGTTAGAAAAACTCCTTCTGCTCCAGGGGCCCATTCTTTGCAGTATAAACCACCATCAGCACATCTGTGAATGCCAAATGATTCATAGCCCTTGGAAAACTTATCGATACCACCTTCATTCTCTCCAATGTTGTTCAAAGTCTGGTTAAACCGCTTATACCTTTGAAAAGTGCAGAAGAAGAAAGTTAGAAAATTATATTGTCTTCCAGAAAAACTATTGTAATTAAGTAGGTGCTTCACTCTTATTCCGAAAAAGAAAAATATATATCATTGAAGAGAACTGTTGTGAACAATTTTGTTTATTGGTAGAGATTACCAGGTAGGATAAAATCATTATCTCAAATAAACTAAATTGATCCTACCAGCATTTTTTGCAATTTCAAGCATTATGATATGAGAGGAAATATAATGGTTATATTATTCCATGAAATTTTTTAAACCATTATAGCAAATTCTATGTCAAGATAGTATAAAGATCATCCTATATCTTTCACCTCTAACCTCTAATAAAATTAAAAAAAAAAAAAAATCAAAACTCAGCAAAAAAAATAAAATTACCCTACAGCAGGGCTTGCCACGTTTTCCTGTTAAGGGGCAGATAGTAAATATTTTAGGCTTTCCCAGCCATATGGTCTCTGTTACAACTCAGCTGTTTCTCTGAAGCATGAAAAGAGCCAAAGGCAGTATGTAAATGAATGGGTATGGCTGTGTTCCAATAACACTTAATTTACAAAACCAGGTGGCAGGGCCAGATTTGGCCCGTGGGGTATAGTTTGCCTAGCCCTTCCCTATGGCAACTAAGCATGGAAAGAACATAGACCACCATCAAACTACAATGGCTAATAGCATGAAGAAAAAAACAAAGATTCCTTCCCAATCAGGACCTGATCTTCTTCAAATCCCCGGAGTCCATATTCAGGATTGGTTAAAAAAAAAAAAAAAAAAAATACTATTTTCACTTATACCCCCCAAATCTGAGGAAAAGCAAATTAGGACAAAACTGGTAAAACTGGAGAAGTGAAGCATGTAGCAGGTGCTCTCTGTCAGAAGTGAAGGTTCCAGAACTACACAATGAATTGAGAGCAAAGTCAATAAGCTTCCCTGCACTTCCCCATACCCTGAAGGGTGAGCAATAAAAGTCCCCAAAAGCTGGCATGAATCCATGTAGGGGAAATACAGGGAATATACAAAATTTGAGAAGCTGACTAATGAAGAACACCTCAGCTGAGCTGATCAGAAAAAGAACCTTTCCACAAATGTTTCACATTATATTTCAACTTCATTAAAAACAAATTTAATAAAAATAAAAGCTGAGAGATTATATGATGAAAGAAGAGGAGTAAAATTAGACCACAGAACTAAACAAACGAAAAGAGGAACAAAGTATATCATTAGGAAATAATAAATAAATTAGAGTTGGCAAGGGACAAAATGCACATACAGCAAAAATAACAAATTACTAGTTAAGTGAATAAATAATTGGAAATTGATATAATTTAAAGAAGACAAAGAAACTGAATATACTAAAGAGAAGCTAAGAGAGATGCAAAATTGACAAAAAGATCTAAATAAGGATGGCTGGTGACTCCTAAGAACTAAAAAAAAATTTGAAAAAAAAAAGGAAAAAATGCTCAAATTCACACATAACAAAACTGAAAACCTAAATTTCAAAATTCCACTTTCCACCTAAAAAAACAGTAAATATATGATAGTCTGTGTGGATGAAATATAGTACAGAGAAAAAGACATTCTCAAATATTCTCAAATACTCTCTAGAGAACAATTAGAGAACAATTTGGCATCAGCTATGAAAATTTCAAATTCATACTCTTGAACTAAGTAATTCCATTCTAGAAATTTACCCTTTGGATATATTGCACAAGGAAGCAAAGACATCTACATGAACAATGACAATCATTATGGCGTATCAAACCATGCAAAATAACCTACTTATTCAACAATGGGAGACTGGTTAAATAAACTGTGGAACACTCAAACAAAAAATTACACAAGAGCCATTAAGAAGAATGAAGTAGAGAGAAATGTGTTGATATGGAAAGATGTCCAATATAGACTATTTGAGAAAATAAGCTGCAGAGCAGTTTTCCACAAAGCACATATTTGTATAAAGAAAATAAAGATATAACTACAGTTGACATACAGATACGTTTTTCGCAGGCCTCTTGCTGGGCACCTGGGAATTTCAATGGCCTGGGTCAAGCCTAAGGATCCCTAGCACCATTATGCTCCCCACATTTGTTTCAACAACAGGGAAGGATAAGGCACAGAATCTGATTAGTGGAGGGCAAAGGCTTATGGGAATGGTAGGTGCGAGTGGACTATTTCATATATGATCCCCTTTTGTATATATACCTAACAAATACACACAAACACACACATACACACACAAACACATATACATTCATGGTTTTGAAAAATGCAAATTACATTTAATCTATTACTGGAAATAAATTAACTTTTATTGAACTGTCATAATCCTAGTCTTATTGACAGTCGATACTCCAGGGGACACAAATTGAACTGCCAGGCAGGTATCATAAATATGAAAAGCTGGCCCAACATATGAAACATAAAAGTGAGAGCCTGATGATAAAAAAAAATAAAATGACCAATGAGGATGGCCTTAGAATATGGAAAACAATGCAAAAAGGAGCTCTAGTAAGATGGAAAGTTCAAGCTCCATTGAAAAGCAACAGCCTCCTTTTAATAGCTACAGTCCATTGTTACCAAACATGCTTTGCCAAATCAGATAATTATTCAAGAACCAAAAAATTAGACTTTTCTATGAACTCTCCCTAATTTAAATATTGGCAACTGTTTTGAAAACTTAAAATAATGAAATGGACAAAAAAACCTTGATCTACAGGTCCAATAGATACTAGTAGGCAAGCTTTCTCACACTCTCTTGTCATATGAGAAAATGTTTGCTTTTTTTTTTGTTTTGGGTTTTGTTTTGTTTTGTTTTTACCTCTTACAGATATCATTCAGCTATAACTCTTGGTGTATGAAAGCTCCAACCCATTATAAACCATGTAAATAATAACATCCAAAATAATCAAACAGTAAACAACAAGGAAAAAATTAATTTGAACTTGGGGTAAAAAAATACATACATACATACACACACACATATATACACACGCCATCATAATACTGAAAATTACTGATCAAAAAAGATATAAACTTTTGTACGTTAAATAAATGTAGTAATGATTATATTGTCAATGTGGGTCTAATATTTTAAAAACACATTTTTAGATTTAAGGTTTAAATTTTTTAAATAGTCTTTTTTAAGAAGTTTACATAAGATATGTTCAAATGTCCCATTTACTAAAAATTCAACAGAAACAGGATTATGGCATTATATTACTTTAACTAAATATCTTGACTTCCCTCAAGGTCAGCCCTGTAGCTTCTGAGACAGAAATACACATCCACTTTGAAATCACTGTGGCTCAAAAAAGAAAATGCCTGAGGATATAGCAAGCTCATCATGCCCATGCCCTCTCCTACTACAGGCGTCTCTTTTAATATTTGCTATGAATTTATAGGATATTTAAAAACTAGGTCAAACTCTTGGTAACCAAGAACATAAAATGAAGTTAGTGTAACAACTAATATTTCATACAGATATAAAATGTTATAACTATTATCATATTTGATCTCTACATTGACGTTTTTAATCCTCTTTTTATAGAGAAAGAAATAGAGGCACAGATAAATATGTAACTTGTCCAAGGTCAAGAATATAATAAGCAATAGAGGTGGCATTATTCATCACAAAAGGTAAACTTTGAATAATTCAAGAGATAAAAATCTCAAGTTAAAAGTCAGATTTTCTTTTTAAAGAAAGCCCTTTAAGTTTTACTCATAAGGCTATTAATCGTATAATTAAGAAAATCAGCTTAGTCTCTAAAAATAAACACTGTAAGTTCATATCCTAACTGTGTAACATAATGTATGTGACCTGAACAATCACTTATCCTCTTTTTCTTAATTTCTTCCCCTGCTCAATGGAGGAAACCCCACAGGCTATTAAGTAATCTATGAAATTGCATTGGAGATTATCCCCACAGTAGCCAGCAAGTACTCAACTGTCAGCTGAAACTTTCTTCCACCTAGGTGAGGGGCAATGCTATAGTATACTTTTTTAATTTATCAATTTTTTACTTATAACACTTATTTAGATATTAATATACATGTTAATTATTAGCAAACATTAAGGATTTTTCCTTTCCAATTCCAAAAGTGTCTGAGAATCCTTACCATTTTTCCTGCTATAAAAAATTACAAATACAGGCATAGTAACACATAACACATAGTAGTAGGTACTCCATATTGACTTGAATGTATAAATTATGGAAAGTTTGTAAGAAAATTAAGTATATTAGGTTGACCAGAAAAAAAGGGGAGGGGGGGTAGTTACTTTAGGAAACGAGCAAGAAATAACTTTGGGGAAAAACTGAAAGAGGCTAAAATCTTTGCTCTCCTGGAAAACAGATCATCCTAGATCTCTACTGAAGTTCTAATTTCAGGCAAAATTGTGAACATGGGAGATATGTTAGGGGAGATGGACCATACCCTATCTAGAAATGTCTAGGATGTAGAATTTTTTTCAAGTACTTCTGACTGGGCCTGAAACCCAAAGAACCCATGGGAGAAATTCTTTCCTTGCTAGCTTAATTTTTGAGATTTTATATTGTCATCTGCTTCCTAGGGGAACCTAGATTCAAGGCAGGAAAAACACATAAGTAAAAGCTCTACAGGAATTTTAATAGCTAAAAAAAAAGAAGAAAATAAGGTTAAAGGAGAAGGAAAATATAATTTTTTTGAAGAAAAAAATAGCTTTTTAAGTTGCTGTTTAGAAGGACTTTAAGGTGACTGGCAAAAACTTTCTTATTTAAGCAAAAAAATATCCAGAATATGCAAAATTATCTATAAATTAAGGCTGTCACATGAAGACTGGGTATTTGGGACTTTAAGTGAATAGTGTGTGTCTGTCAGTCAAGGATAAGTATTCAACAACATCAATAACATAAAATATATGTAAAAATTATAATTATATAGACATTATTAAATCTGTCTTTTTGGAGAGAAGGAGAATGAGGTCAGTTCAAAACAGTTAAAAGTTAACTTTTA